ACTATAGGAAATATTTTATCAAATTTTGAATAATTTTTCAAATTTTCTAATAAATTTATTAGTTTATTTGCAATTGTTATAGTTTGTTTGAGCTAGTAGTACTAAAGATTTACTTCAAGTTATTAAATTTAATTTTATAATTTACTCTATATAGCGCAGTTTTCCTTAAGTGGCCAATCACTGTATTATCTCTTACCCTACTTAGTGAAAAACAGTATTAAATAATTATAATTGTTATTTAGGTTCCGAATGTAGAGATCGCTGGATTGCTTTGCGAAATAGATTTTCAAAAGAACGATGCAAACAAATACGATCGGGATCAGGAGCATCGGACTATAAAGAATGGCCATTAATGAAAAATTTGTCATTTTTACATGAATGTGTAAAACGACGGAAAACATTTGGAAACGTCGAGCCACCAGAAGATTCAAGATGCTCCACATTGTCAAATGATTCCTACAAAGAAAATTGTTTTCAAGAAATTCAGAGCCACGATAGTGAAGAATTAGCTTTTGGAGATGTTCAATATCTTGATGAAACATCACAAGAATATTTAGAACATCTGGAAAAGCAAACTGGTATGTGACTTTAAAATTTTGTAAGTTTCTTCAAATCTCTAGATACTAAACTAATAAATATATTTTTGGTCATGAGAGCCGTTCGCTAGGTGTTGTGCGGAAATTATACGTGTATATATATACATATATACGTGTTCACGTGTAAATTTTTAACACGTGAAATTCGAATTGTAATAACAATTCTAAAATTCATATAGGATGCTACTTGCATCTCGTATATGAGAGATCCCAAATACCCCCCTAATTGAAATTAAATTTATATTGCGAAAAAAACTCCTCGGCCAGGAGTCAAACCTGGAATCTCCGGCTTTCCGTGCCGTCGCCTTTCCTATTCGGCCACCGAGGCACTTGGAGTTTTTCTCGCAATACTCTCTAGATACTAATCTAGATCTCTAGATACTAATAGACACTTTCGGTTGTAGCGATGATAACTGTTTTATGTTGGAACGTATAAAGTATCGCAGAGATTGATTTTGTATAACTGATGAATTCTTCAAAATGCACTAATTATTTAATAATTTACTCTCTTGAAATATTAAAATAATTTATTTTAAGTAGAAATATAATAATAATACATTAAAAATAACACTCATTCAAATTTCAGGTATACAGGATTTTGACGACGTATCAATAAACGAAGATCGCACTTCGAGAGAAACTACCCAATCACCAGCAGCAAAACGCTCGCGCTCCAGATCCATTACTCCTATATCTCGAAAAGACTTCTCAAATAAAGTATCTGCCAAAATGAGTGAAGCCGTTGATATGTTTAAAAAATTTGTAACCGACAAAAATTCTTCAACCGCGGAAGATAGTTCTTTGAAAGAATTTTGTAACTCAATCTATGCTGACTTGAAACATTTAGACAAAAAAAATCTTATACACTGTAAAATAGAAATTATGCAAGTAATTGCAAAATATCTGGAATAATACACATATGTATGTTACTATGAAAATAAATTTTATTCTAAACTTGTTTTGTACAATTTTTAGTACATGTATTTTTAATCGTAAAAACCGCACACGAAAAAAAACTATCGTCTATAAATTATACACAAGTTCAGCTACTAGATAATTACAAGACTTTTTTCCTTCGATTTTTTTTTTAAATCTTAAATTTTAAAGATAGAATGTGTTTTCAAAAAACTTTTTTTTACTAAAAGTTGATAACAATTATAACTATAATGAAATAACTTATTATTTATTATTGAATATCTATATTATTACTTTATATTAGTTATTATATACTTATATATTAGTACTTTATATTATATATGTACAACGTACAATCGTCAAAAATCGCCTTAAAACAAACAAAACGACGTCGATTTGATTTTCTGGGTCGAACAATTTTGGCACGTATATGATAAAAAAAAAAAACAAATACAAGAACAGAAATGTTTTAGAAAACTCTTTGCAATTTATCAGCACAAAATTGAACATATCAAGTGAGTACAATAGTATTACTTTATATATTTCTTGTGTATATTATTTATATGAACTGTATTGTTAGTTGATATATTTTATCGTTGTCACTCTGGTCTGGATCCTCTTGAAACATGCTCCCACTGCCAAGGAACTGCCCCTTNGCGCGAAAGATAGTGTGCCATACTGTTACGTAGAACAATCATAGATCTTAATGGATTATTCGAACCCATGCGTCCTATCCTTTGAAAACTATTATCAACATATTCTTCTCGAAACAAGCCTTGTATAATGTGACCATCATCTCGAACAGTGTCGGCAAAATTTAAAGGGCAATATACTTGTTCTTGAGCATTTTTTTCGGAAATACGCAGAAAATTATGTAAACATACTGTGGCAGCGACAATCTTTTCTACATTATCAACTTCGGCAATGATATTATTTCGCAAGATTCTCCATCTCGATGCTAAAATGCCAAATGAATTTTCTATTGTTCTCCTTGCTCTCGATAATCGGTAATTAAAGATTTTTTGTTTTTGATTTAAATTCTTTCCCGGATAAGGTCTTAGAATGTAAGGTTTTAAAGGAAAAGCATCATCTCCAACGAAGTAGTATGGAAAATTCATATCTGTGTTTGGTAATAATGTGCTTGCTGGTAATTTTATCTTACCGGATTCCAATCCTTGTCCAAAGGCTGACTCCAAGAACACTCCACCGTCATTTTGCGATCCGTACGCTCCGATGTCTATAAGTGTAAATACATAATCAGCATCACAAGCAGCCATCAAGACAATGCTGAATCTCTTCTTGTAATTAAAAAAAGCAGTTCCTGACTTATTTGGTGCTTGAATTGTAATATGCTTGCCATCGATTGCGCCGCAACAGTTAGGGAGATTCCACTGTCTGTAAAATTCGTTTGCTATCTCTTTCCATTCTTCGACTGTTGGTTGTTTGCAATATATGGGACTAAGAACAACCCATATCGCTTCGCAAGTTTCTTTGATTATAACAGATGCGGTAGTTTTTCCAATCAAAAAGGACCACGCAACTACCTGCATACTGCAACCTTGAGATAAATAGCTGCAATATAATATAAGTTTTACATTATTATTTACATCAAAATTAATATATACAATTCTGTACAAGACATTGTAAAAATTAAGATTTTATTACTTACAATAACGTAATAACCAGCCTATGTTCCGGACTTATAGGCTCACGTCTGCTGTGCTTCACTAATTTGTGTTGTACAAGTCCTAATAATGTATAGAAATTGGTCTGTGACATTCTTGTATACTTTATAAACTGTTNGTTGTCCACTGTCGCCATATCTTTAAATAAATTGTGAAAATGTCCTGTGTTTTGTCTTTTTTTATTTATTGGACGTACACTCCAACGGCGTTTTTTTCTGATTTTTGTAATTAACGGTGAGTTTGCATATGCAGTGTATGCTAGCCCTATAATCGAGAGAAACATTCCACACACTACAATTTCGGACAAATCCATGTTAGTGTAATCCATATAAATCGGTCGTAATCTGTAAAGAGGTTATTATAAGATAATGCAACTTCTCGACTCTACGTTCAGTTAGTGTTTATCTTATCTTAGTGTTTAACTTTATCTGTTACTTCCTCCAGGAGCTCTATATAGCGAGTTGTTCTTGTTATTTTTTCCAGAAACTCCAGCATTCCAGTGTCATTTTTGTTCTATCCCTTCAACTTTAT